TTTCTAGCGTATAGTGTATTGCCGCCAGTTCAGCAACATATACGGAACAAGGAGCTTGAAGCATTCGAGAGGCGCTATGAAATTCGTTAAAAATACCAAAACCAGCGGACTTTTTAATATGATGATATAAAGGTTTTTTTTTTGTGGAGGCATCGTTAAAATCAGTTTTGTATCTGTAACTTTTTCTACAATATTTATACATGTCATGACAAGCATAAATAAAAAAGCGCGTGTTTTGATACACTTGGCACCACTGTGCGATGGCCTGGTCTACAAATTGCAGCGATACGGTCTTCCAATCTTCCTTGTGAAGATCATAAAAAACTATCTCTCTGACAGGACATTCCGAGTCTCTCTGAATGTGATCACATCGGAAGCCTTCAACATCGGTGTGACTGTTGCACAAGGAAGCATCCTTGGACTTTTCTTGTTGATGGTGGATCGTGGTCCCTGTTACATCCATCGTCTATGAGGGTAGGGTCATCCGAGCTCTGACCGCCAAACTTTGGATGCCCTGTCTGTTTATTTCAACAGCTGGAAGATCCGTATAAACGTGATGAAGACCCAGGTCATCATCTTTCCTCATTCCAAATCTCCCGAACTTGTTCCGAGAATAATAATATCAACTTAAACGGCAGTGGTGGAATGGTTCAAAGAGGTAGTCTACCTCGGTCTTACGCTCGATAACAAGCTGCTTTTCAGGGAACATGTTGACAAAACGAAAACAAAATGCAACATCCTGATGAGATCCCTGCATCCGCCATCAATAGGAGATCCACTCTGTCCCTGAAAAATAAGCTTGCTGTCTACAAGCAAATTATCTTTCCCGTTTTAAGGGGAAACGCTCCTATAGTTGCGGTACGTTAGAAGCGTTAGGTTCCTATATAGCGTTGCCAGATTGTTTTAAAGCTTATCGGTATCAAAGGTATTAAAAAATCGGTATTTATCGGTATTTACTATTTAATTAATTTTACATTTTTGCCCTTTTTTGAAAGTGAACAATTTAACGATGGTGACGACTAGGACTTGAGGGGAATTGCTTTGTTTAACGGCTTTCTCAGTCTTAAAACAGTCTTTAATTTTTATTATTTAATTTTTAAATAATCGTTGTCCTCAAGTGATGATCAAAATTGTGAGAAAGTAGTTTTTTTCAATTAAATATCATTAAATGAAACCGAAATATGGAAAATCAGCCACAACGACGACTAAACTATTGACAATAACGGCAAACAATATTTTCACTTCAAAAAAGCCACAACCCAAGGCCAAAATGTCGAACAGATTACATCGTAGTCGTTGCTGTGTTTTAAGACTGAGAAAGCTTTTGTACAATGATCGGAAAATTCCGGAAGAAAACTCCGGGAATATTTAAATTAGCTTCTGAACAAAGCCGAAAAAACATCCAGAGAAAGAGGAAAGAAACTCTCCTGGATGAAGTTCGAGGAAAGTTCTAAGAAAAGTTGGAAAAACATCCGGGAAACTTCTAAGACACGAATTAAGAAACTTGTGGCGATAATTTAAATAAACTATCGGATGTCACATCTAGAGGAAGCCAGAAAAGTTTCGGAAACCGGAAGTAAATTTTCAGAAGTAGCCATTTCCAGGGAAAGCCATAAGAAGCTCGGAAAAAAACTTCCAATAGAAGTCGAACAAAAAAATCTTTGGCTTATGGTCAAACTTCCAGAAGATGAAAAAAAAAAATCAGGGAAAATTAATTGAACTTCCTGGAGAAGACGAAAGAAACTTTCTGGAGACGCTGGCAGAAACTTCCTATGGTAGATTGGAAGAAACATCTGAAGAAAGTCGGAAGCCAGAGCGCTTACGGAACAGTCGAAAGAAACAAGGACATAATTCCGGAAGAAAGATATTCCTGGGGAATGTTCTAATGATCCAGAAAATTTTCCTGATATTCATTAAACATCTCTGAAGACTCCGCAATTTCCCTGAGACTTTTGGAATATTCCTGAAATGCACTTGGGAATATTCCATAATTCCTCGAAATTCCTTAAAAGTTCTTGTAATTTTCCTGAAATTAGGGGCTGTTCAGGAGTTCTCTGGTAATCATCGAAGTGCTCAAAACTTCCCTGATTATAAAAGACCACCGGAATATCTCTAATCATCTTTGAAGGTCTCTGGACTTTCTTGAAGATTACGAAATCTCTTAAGTGCTTTCACAATTTTCTTGAATTTATTGTAACATCAGCATTGAAGTTCTCTGATCTTCCCGATTTTTTTTTTAATTTTTAAAAGTTATCGACACTGCCATTAAAAAGCATAGAACTTCCCATAAAATGTTCTCAAAATGTTCTAATGTTCATGTAACTTCCCTTACGTTTCCTAAATTTGCATGAGCCCCTCAGGACATTGCTAAAGTTTTCGGAAATTGCCTGAGTTTCTCGGAACTCCTTTATAATTTCAGCAATTTTATTAATTAGTTGATCTGCCCTGAAAACCATTAAATTTCCCTGAAGTTCTTTGGACTTGTGAAGTTTCCAAAATATTTATGATGTTTCCTTAAGTTCACTGGAATTCGCTGGACTTTTCTGACATTTCCGGGTTTTCGAATTTTAAGAGAAGTTATTGAGACTGTCTTTAATTTATCGAAACTTACACAAAAGTCTGGACTTTTCTGAAATTTCAGAACTTCTTAAATGTTCCTGCAGCTAGTGTGGATCAGCAATAAAAATCTGATAGCATCCTTGAAGTTTCGGGAAAGTTGAAAAAACTGGCGGGAAAAGATGAAAGAATCATTCGAGCGAAGGCTGAAGAAGCTTTCAAGGTAAGGTAGAAGAAAATTCCAGGGAAAGTTGGATGAAACTTCAGGAAGTTGAAAAACGAATAAAGGCTTCCGGAAGTAAAATAAGGTTTCGATTCCCTAGGATTTACCGGAAAGAGCCATCGACTATTTCTCGATTGATGGGTAGCCAAAAACGTTGAGGTAATGCAAACATTAGTCGAAAGAGTATCAAGCATAAGGCATCTTTAGAGATGATTGTTTAGAACTTTGAAGGCTCAAAAATATGAAGTATTCAAAAAGATACATGTCTCTCACAAAAAATTTATCCAAAATTCGAGCGCGGGCAGGCAATAATAATTTTGATTAAAAAACGGTATAAATCGGTATAAAATCTTAAAAATCGGTATTCTCAGGAACCTTATCTGTATATCGGTATCTAGTTTGGAAATCGGTATAAATACCGATAAATCGGTATATCTGGCAACGTTGAGAGTCTCCATCTTCAACTATAGGAACCTAACGCTTCTAACGTACTGCAACTATAAGAGCGTTTATCCCACTACTAATAAATGAATCAATTATCAGTCAACAGTCGAACTTAGTATTAGCTTCACTGTGGTCCTTACTGGTACATATTTTCGTAGTTCACCATAGTTAGGATACCGTATGGTAAAAAGAAAGTCTTCTCCAACAGTCCACTCAATAGGTACACCGTGAATGCTTACCTGCTACACCTTCGACCTTTTGTCCTACAACCCTAGTATAATTCGAGATAATTTCCAACCCGTCGCCTTTCGCTTGGTAATACCGTGCTTTAACAGATTACTGTGTAACCTGACTTATAACGTATGACTCATAGCATTTGTAATGTAAAATTAGACGAACTATATGTTGTATTCGGGGTATTCGTAAACAACCTATATTTGTTATAAGTCAGGTAACACATGAGCTACATGCCTTATACCTTATGCACAATGAGACTCTATACTAGACTGATGCAAAATTTGAAATTTTCGCTCCACAGTGCTCAAACGGTTCCAAATTGGGTCCTGATTATCCTCCCAAAATTTGAACTCCTTTAGTAAGAAACTGACTTGGCACAAACCATTTGAAGTTTATATGGAAATTATTATGGGGAAACCATAATTTAAGTTCATATCGATCTCAAAATTCACCAGTTCACTCTACTTTAGAAAATGATAGCTGAGCTTGTTGAAAATTTTCTCAGCTACAACTTTGTTTAAGACTGCTTTTCGATCAAATGTAAGTAACAAAAATTATGATTGATTCACTGATGTCTTATGATTATGCTCAATCAGCTGTTCAGCAGGCAACATTGGTGTTTATGGCGCGTAGAATAGAGGACAAAAATCATAGCCACTATGTCACATTGGAGAATACAGTGTTGCCCACAATACAGTTGCTTAAACTTGCCATAAGATTAGCAATCTCTTAAACAATTAATAACTATTTAATTTGACGTTTGGCTGAAAAACGATTTTCTGCAAAGTTGTAGCTGATAAAAATTCCCATGAAAATAGCAATAGAACTTGATAACAGTACAATATGGAAAAAGCTAGAAGACAATGAACAAAAAGTTTGGTTTTTCCATAGTAATTTCCATATTAACTTCAAATGGTTTGTGTCAAGTCAGCTTCTTATCAAATGAGTTTAAACCGTTTGAAAACTGTGAAGCGAAAATTTCAAATTTTGCATCAGTAATATCCTAATTTGGAATCGATCTAACACATTTTTTCCTTGATTTGTTTTCCGTCTATCTTGTTTTCCGTGCTGAGGACCAATGCTACCGACGCCAGGGAGGCAGCTCCTACACCTGGACCGTACCTATCGACCCATCAACTCATCGAACTTGCTAAACGTAAAATGAACCTACTGAAAATAAATAAACATAAATTCTATGATAATTATGTTCTTAGAACTTTGACCAGTTCAAGCCAACTGCCATGCTACAGCTAGAACAGGTTTAAGACAAGATAAATAATTACACTTGATTTAATTTATAAATAAGCATTACTCTGGGTAAATCTGGGCCAATCATAAAACCACATTGTAGTATGCGGTATGTCGAACCACCTTTCATGGTTCATGGTTACCCAGCCAACACGGTATGCTAGATGTTTGTTTTGAATAGATTCTTTCGTATTCGTCGCCACTGGGACCTAAACCGGTTTATTTGCACAAAGTCATAGGTTTGTAGACCCCAGCGATCCGTTTTAGTAGCTGCATAAGTATAAGATCTTACCTTCAAGCATGATAATTGTCCGCTTGCTTGCTTCAGATACTGAGCAAGTATGGACGTTGGCAGAGGGCAAACCGGGTCTCTCAGATGCACTACATTCACGAGAATGACCTACAATGAGATGGCAAGAAAACGAAAGTTGATTAGACGTGGAACAAATAGTTAATAGCGGTGGAGTTATTTTGCTCTAACTGTGACGGCGTAATTTATCAGTTTTCGCACGTGATCGGGCAGGCATACCCCGATCACACAGTGGATGTGAGGAAGTCAAGACATTGAGAATTGTTTGAAAAAAAGTGCAATGTGTCAGAGATGATTTATGAAATTTTATGAAATCACAAGTTATATTATGTAGAACATAATCTTTTTCATGTTGTATTGTAGTGCTCTGCAAAAGTGGACTAGTAGATGAATCTGAAAAACGCAAGTGTTTTTCTTTGTAAGGCAGCCTACTTGTGGGCATGCTGAGAAAACTAATCACATAAGGAGCACCACGTAACATTTCCCTTTACTCCCATCCCCCTATGTAACAATAAGTGACGCATGCGTGCCCCACCCCCATTATGCGTTACATAGTTTGCGCACGAAGCCTAACTAGATAATATCTTTGGAACTGTTCAGAATTTTCATAGAATAATTTCAAAACGTTTTCAGAGACTTTCATGATTTCACCCCAATAATCAATATGATTCTCTCTGGAATTTCCTCTCTCCATAACAGGTCAGGAATTCCTGATAAAGTTTATCTCCATGATTCCCTTTGAAATTTCTTAGAATATTCTTCAGAACTGCCTTGGTATAGTAATTGCCTATTGAATATAGAAACCTTGGATTCTTCTATTTTGTGTTTGGAATTTCGATCACAATTATCTAGCATTTCTCTTCAGCTTGTTCAGCAGTTGGTATTCTCTGTAAATTCACCACTGAATTCGAAGGACAATTTACATCCTTGGAATTCTTCCCAAAATTATTTTGAGATTCTTCTTGGAATTTTTTTCTTTTCTCTCTTGAAACTTTCTTTTGAATTCCATTGAAACTGGGTATTCTTAGTATTCGCTCCTTTGTAATTTTTTTTTTCGGATTTTGCTTGTAATTATTTTTGGAATTCTTTTGGAACTCTTTTCCAACCTGTTATCACCATTAGCGTAAGATTGTTAAAAGATTCCGGCTATCCTCATAATTCGACCCCTTGAGTTTATTATCGGTGTTCCCTTGGAACTCACCTCAGAGGTCGATTGATTCATTGATTTACACTTAAGAGAGCTCATTCCTGAAAGAGAATGGAAAAAGAATCGAAAGTGGCCCTACTGGACTGAGTATAACGTAGTTACAGTGTTGCCGTTTGTTTACAAAGCGATTTAAGAACTATAATTTTATTATTGTGAGCAGAGTCTGTTTTTTTCTCATTTAGTTTATGTATCAAGGCTCAAATATCTGGCGATAAAACAGAATTGAGTGTCTATACATAAGATTTGAAATCGTGACCTTTATCGTTAGAGGCATGAATGATAAAAATTACGCTGGGCCCATCCCCATTTATGACTTCTTATTTGTCCTGGGAAGCGACTTGAGTTCTCCCGTCAAGCTTAGTCCTTATTTCTTAAACATTAACGCCTGCCCGTCCATACACATAAGCCGCAACACACAAATTACGTAACGCAAAAAATCCGGATTTGCCCCCCCCCCCCCATATGTCACACAGTAACGAAAATAGTAGGCTGTGGAGTTTTGACGTCTTTTATTAAGATAAACAACTTTGCCTAAGTCGTCAAGTCTTCAAAACGCCATTTCAATGCATTAAAAAAAGTTATAGAAAAAAACATGTTCTACAAAAAACACCAAAATATACCTCTGTATATGCTTCGTTTCGGAGTTATTAATTTTGCTCCGCTTTTTTGTATTTAGTTACAGGTGGTTTATTCTTCAACAAAGTTGTAGAAATAATTATTTCAAGCAACTTTATTGTAGACACCATATATCTAGCTCTTTATTTGACCATTAGAGCTATTTTTCTGCTATTAATTGAGAAGTCAATAAAAGTCTCTCTAATAAAGGAAAAACATATGGTATTTTTTTATTTTTAATGTTTTAAAAAGTGATCACAGAACAGTTTCAGGCAAAATTATGGCGCATATTTTTGTTGAAGATAATATTTTGATATAACTTGGGTAATTTTATCTAAAGAAATACAGTCTTCAAATGTTAATATCTCAACTAATTGGATAAATGATTTTATTCTTGATATGGAATCTGAAAGATCACAGATAACGGAACATTAAAGATGAAAACTGAGAAAACATACAATTTTTCAAAATAGAGTAAAGAAACTAAAAAATACCCAAAAATAATTAAAAAATAATGTACATAGCTAAATGCTGTTTCTGCACAAATGACTAGAGGAAATGGATGTAATGTCGGCCTAAATGCCCCTAATTTGGGCAGATACATGAATTCAGCAATGGACTAAATTTTCAATAGTGACCAAAAATATCCATGAGTACCGTCCCAATGACGCGTTCATCTAGATAGAATTGATAAATAGCAGATTTTTAGCAATGGGCCCAATCTTAGATCCATAGGCCAACATTAGAGCCATTTCCTATATATCTAGTTCTAAAAGTTTTCCACACTAGTTTTGTTTTAAGAAAAGTAAAACAAAAAAGTTATTCTAAAAAAACTGTTTTTTTGGGCACCCTATTGAAAACAGAAAAATTGTGTCTTCAGCAAAGTTACTTGGTTTAGAATATATTTATTTTAACTGCTGATTTATAAAAAAAAAATGTATTTATTGTTCAGGTCTTTTGTGAAAAAGAACACAATAATTTGTGAATTTTGAAAGCCATCTTTATCTCGACAAAGGTATTATTGGCACTCAGTGCTGAAAAGTGTCACTTTTGGTCACTGTTTTGAAAAACATAATGGCCTACTTTTCCTAACTACAATAACAGTGTCGAAAAGAACTACTTTTCAGCACCCAGTACCAAAAAGTTCTAGGTTTCGACACTCTTTTGTGTGCAAAAAATGTTATTTGCTAAATTCGATTTTTTCAGCACTCGTCGTAATTATCTAACTCGGCAAGCTTCGTTACATAAACTACGACTCGTGCTCATGCTTTGCATACACAGTTTTCGTCACGAACTGCTCATTTGCTAATAATTTTGCACACAGTTGACAAAACATAGTTCTGTTTGAAGCAGTAGATTGAATAAAGTTTAAAATTGTTATAGGTACGTAAGAAAAAGTAGATTTTAATTCCAGTAATTAACTGTATTTGTTTTTATGTTGTAAAAATGAAGTGAGAAATGCTCACTGCACATCTCGGACTTTAAGCGTAAAAAATCATTGGTGTTGATTCAAATGTTAAGATTTACCTACTCTTTGCATATCTATAGTAAGCTTTGATCCTAATCTATCAATAATTGATAGTAATTATTACCTTAAAGAAAAACAAATTTCAGCAACTGAGTGAAAAGTTATTAACAAATGAGCAGTTGGTGTGTACATACAACTGTGCATGCCAAGCATGCTCGTGCTGAAAAAAACTTCTTTTTGCAACGTGTTGCATAAATAGCTATTTCTGCCAACATTGAATGCTGAAATTTAATATTTTTTATTTAATATGTTTAATGGAATTGTATTATTATTCTACCAGAAATTTTGGTCAATTCACCAGAAGTTAGTTGAATATTTTTAATTGATAGTGGCTTGTCAACTGATCACATCGTACAACATAACGAGAGCCGGTGAAGCGTGAGATATTCAACCATGTGTTTGAATTTTTATGGGGTAATCAAATTTGTTCAATCGATCTATGTGCTCTCAAACTAAATACGCCGTTCGTCTCACTGGCTATTAGCATAAACCGCATTTTGCTTACGCGGAAATATCCTCAACTTGTAATCATGATCGCGACGCGTCTGGTTAGCTATATACATTTCTTAATGGCCGAAGAAAATCCTTCATGTATGAACTTGGCACTGACCAGATTGGGTGGTGGTCGAGATATACGCAACAAGAGTTGTGTGAACTTGTGGTGTATTTACTTTCAAGTTTGCCTCATTGATTGCTAACCGGCAGGTTTAATAATTTGCAAAAGCCGGTTGGAGCATGGGATGTTGCAAAGCCAGCAATACATTAATATTGTGTTATAACTTATTTATGGCAAAACTTGTTTAAAAAAATGTATTTTACGGTGTTTTACGTCTTCCTCAATTCCTTTACATATTTTCGTCAGGGGGAAATAAAGTCCTAGTGTCTTACCTGACTTATACGAATATACATTGTATCCGGGGGGAACATGAGCTCGTCTAATTATGCATTACAAATGCTATGTTAAATTAGACGAGATATACGTTATGTCTGAGGGACCGCGAATGGGGGTTCAGTTAATAGTTATTATTAAACCATTCGATTGGCAGCATCCAATTAGAAATTATTATCAGCTGTAAAGTGATTTCATAAAAGGTTTAAAAAGTGAATGTTAGTTTTGGGATACTAAGAAAAATCATATTGTATCACTTGTTCTACGATTGAGACTTCATGCCCCAAAATTTACTGAGTAACAGAGTCATTTTAAAGATCACTAGGCTAAATGTTATCGGTAAATGGTTCTAGTATTAGGCAAGTGTACGATAAAATCGATCTCGCTGAATAGATATTTTTTACCAATAATTTTAAACCGATTTTTATGTAACGACTATTTTTTTTTTTCAAAATGCCGAAATAGCTATTTATTCAACAAGTTGCAAATAGAAGATTCGTTCATCATGTTGTTGTTGATTTGGAAATTTCTATGCTGAAGTGCTGAGTGCTGAAAAACGAATTTAGCAACGAACGGCATACAACATTTTTTGGCACTCAATGCTGAAAAATGTCACTTTTCGACACTGTTTTGAATAACAAATGGAGGCCATTTCATATTTAAAATAACAGTGTCGAAAAGTACTGTTTTCAGTTTAAAAAAGTTGTAAACAACTCGTTGCGAAATTCGTTTTTTAGCACTCGCCGTAATTATCCTGTGACTCGTGCTGAAAAACTCTTCATTTTGCAACTTGTTGCATAAATAGAATTTTTTTTTGTTGGGTATCAAGCTGGAGCTGCGTGACAGCTTTT